AGAGTTCTACTTTGTCGTTGCAGATGGGTTATAATATCGTCTTGTAGATCAGTAATTTGTTTTCAATATAAAGTTTAGATTTTCTATTCAGTAATGTATATAGCTGACCATAATGTCGGTTAAGTCTAGTATGCCGGTTTTAAGTTAATCGCCTGTCTTAGAGAAATCCAAGATACAGGACATAAAATAATTTAAAAAAATCTGGTGAACGCAACACACAACTTTCACTTACCTATCTACTTTCAATAGAAATTATTTTCTGGCAATGCTGGGCTATTATAAAATTCTTTGAAGTGCATTTTAAACGGAGCTAAAGCTTAAATATTACACATAACAAGTCATTAAGACCATTATAATTACAAAATGTCTATTTAATATATCGACGACAGGCAATAAAAATCTAGTCACTCGATCTGCTTTTATAAACCACACAACTTTCTTTGCTTTTATAAACCACAGAATGACTAACTCCAATTTCAACATTTTTGAGTGATGTCATTTTAGTGATATTTTTAGTTGAAAAAGTTATCTATGCAGACAATGAGTAAGTTGATTCCAGAGGTGGTGATTGCAGTGTTGAAATATAGAACTGAGAATAAAGGTATAAATTTAGGTACTTATTTCTTATAAAAGATGTTCATAGGAAAGATACTTTATTAGATATCTGTAGAAAAGAGGTTTTTTTAGTCTCAACAATTAAAAAAATATATTTTAAATTTATCCAAATTTTCGCGTCTTCAGAGAAAAAAACTAGAGACCATATCTTTCCTCGTAATTGTCCGATTTTAACGATTTTTGTTGTTGTTTTTTTAGGAAATTCCATAAACTTCTTGTTTTCGTTGAAGTATGTTATATAGATAAATTTAAAGGGTATCGAGAAAATGACTTTAGCGAAGTTTCATTGAAATCGGTACATTCGTTTAGGCACTACAGTCTATAGCAACGCAGGTTTTTCTGCATTATTTTTTTTCTCCTTTATTAACTTATCAAATTCTTTCAAAAGTTATATGTAGATTTTTTTCGTAACTCTGAATAATGCGAAATGGTTAACTTTTTAAAATAAACCATATTAAAGGAACTTTAGAGGAAGACATATATGAACATTGGGCATTTAAGCCCTGTAAAGTGACATCAACGGGGATAAGACCTAAATGATATTAAAGATCACTTAATTATACAACGATACACCGAGTTTGGTCAAAATCGTTAGAGCCGTTTTTGAGAAAATTGTAAAAATATGCTTCAGCGTTCCTATAAAGTGGCACTTCGAGGTAAACCGATTTTAACGAAAAAGTTGCTGTCACATCCGGCCCATATACAAACCTTTTTTATTTATTTATATGATATATTTACAACTGTATACAAAAAATACATCTGGTAAATTCGCACATGGATATAATGACATGGAACACATGTTGAGAAACTACCCATTGGTAGCACCTAAATAATATGTCTATATTAGAAGATCACGTGGCCATCTTCTTTTCAGACGCCTCGGAGGGTTATCAGGAATTGAATAGGAAGCAAGGTTAGAAACAAGAGGGTTGGGATGGTTATGAAGTTTATTATGGAAGGACAGATATCTGGATTGGGCCAAATCTGATACATAAGGAACATTAAGGTCATTATGAATAATTTTATTTGTAACAAAGTAAGGAGCATTGAGGATTTTACGAAGGATATTGGATTGTAAGGGTTGGATGCGAGAGAAATTTAAAGGTTTGGTGGAGCCCCATAGCTCAATATACAAACCTTAAATACTTAATATCAGTTTCGTACTACTTTTCGTTTATGAGATAGACTGTTAAGACACACGCACGGACACACACACACACACACACACACACACACAGACCATATTGCGACACTTGGTTATTTGAACTCAGGGGACTTTAAAAGATGTATTTCTGTTGAAAACTGAGATTCGAAAATTTTCACGATCGCAATACTTACCCTTACTATATATTACATATATACGTAAGTGAAAGTAAATTCATGCAAATTGCCCATTATGTTTGCCAAGCATTTGATGTAGTTTTTGCCTCGAGCTGCATAGACATACCTCGACTCCTGTTGAGTCACCTCTTGTTCTGTTGCAGGTCGAAGCGATGCCTACCATCGAACGCTTGCCGACGGTGGAATTGTGCTTCTGCCTACTGGACCTGCCCCTAGGTTCCCTGATAGCCGGCATTGTGGATATGGTTTTGCCTACTGTCTTCACCGTGTATCCCCTGTTGGCCAGAGCTTGCGAAGAGGATGAGGAGTGCCTGTGGGACTACTTTTTCTACTGTTGGTTAATCCTACACCTGCTCTTCGTCGCCGGAGGAATTTTAATCATCGTCGGGACCTGCACAGAGATACAGATTTTACTCTTCGTCGCGGTCCTCATCAAATCCGCCACGATAGTATTATACCTCATCGCCTTAATCTTCAATTTCATAGTGCTCATTATAGCTGACGCGATGATGTTAGGATTCATCTTTCTCCTCGGAGGGATAATTCTCCTTTCTTTATTTTCTTATCATTTGTGCGTTGTGAACAGTTGGAGCAATGCTATGGAGGAGGAGCAGGAGCTTTCGAAATAAATTCTTAATTTCATTTAACCGTTATTTATGTTGCCATTTTAATTGTATTTATATTTGTAAAGGCCAGTTCTAGAAGATAATAAAATATCCATTTCTTCAGATTTGATGCAGTTTTTATTTTTTTTTTTTTTTTAGATTTCAAACATAAGGACTAAAACTGATTTTAAAAAATCTGGTGCGCACAATTTTCACTTACCGCTCTACCTTGAATAGACATAATGTTTTGGCAATCTTGGGCAATTATAGAATAAAGCTTACAACTAAAAAATCATTAATACCATTGATTTCTTATTTTTTAGGTTATTTTATTTAGGTTAGGTTTTTATTGTCTATTGTATATACTTTTGATTATTATTTCGTTCTATTTATTTTATTTTTTTTGTACATATGGTGTGAATGTCATCCTACCTCACTATAACCAATGTCCAACAGACAGATTGTTATAATACTCAATAAAAAAAAAAAAAAAAAAAATACCATTGAAATAACAAAAATCCTATTTCTTATATCAACAATAGTGGTTAAATAGTTGACTGTCATGAATAATGATAAGAGGAATAGTTGGGGTGATCAGTCAAATAAGAAGGCAAAATAAATGATAATATTTATTTTGACATTTGCCGACGTTTCGACCTGAAGTTCAGCCCTGATGATGGCCTGAACTTCAGGTCGAAACGTCGGCAAATGACATATTAAATTTTATCATTTATTTTGCCTTCTTATTTGACTGATCACCCCAACTATTCTTCTTCTTCTTATATCAACGTTTGATTATTAGATTCTTGACTATTAGTGATAAACTGTTATTTTCCATTGCAAAGTTTACTAAAATTGAATTATTTGCATACGGTATTTGCATTGCATGTCATATATAGGTCAAACGTTTTCACACTAATTGTAAGTGGATACTGTTAAGATATCACAAAAGGAAAATTTATCAAATTAAGTAACTTGATGATTTTTTAGGAATAAACGGCCAATAGATACCTAAATATTTAAATAAAATATCATATCTAGAGTTATCAAACTACAGTAAATGTATTTAAGGTTATAAACATATTCATAAAATATTTTTATATTTCACTTCTTCTTTCATATGCGTAAAATTAAATATTATTTTAAACAATGGCATTGCCCTGATTCGGTGGATTTAAATTTTTTTTTTTCGAACTTAGCAAAAATTCAGTTAGTAAATTTCATTTAATTTCCTCAAATTCAAAAATTATTATTTTTAATTTTTCACCACTCTCCGTTACCTTCTCCAACATTATTTACTTGATATTATCTTTTTCAAAAATTCTCCGCTTTCCAACGATATATTATTATACGTATACCTTCTGACTGTTATTTCCAGAGATTCATTTTTACCTGGTTAAGCATTTTTATTTTTTTCTCCTTTATTCAATTATCAAATTCTTTCAAAAGTTATATTTATCATTTTTTTCGTAACTTTAAATAATGATGAAGGTACTTTAGAGGAAGCCATATATGAACATTGGGCATTTAAGCTCTGTAAAGTGACATCAACGGAGACAAGACCTAAACGATATTAAAGACCACTTAATAATACAATGATACACCGAGTTTAATCAAATCGTTAAAGCCGTTTTTGAGAAAATTGTAAAAATTTGTTTCACCGTTGATATAAAATAGCGGACGATTAGCCGATTTCAAGAAGAAATATACCTGTCTTAAATACGTAATACCATTTTCGCAAGGCTTTTCGTTTTTGAGCTAGACTGTTCACATACACATACAGACTCACAGACCATTTTGAGAGACTTGGTTATTTTGACACAGGGGATCTCAAAACCTGTATTTCCATTGAAAACGAAGATTCGGTCGCAATACTTTCCCTAACTATATATTACATATATAGGTAAGCGAAAGTAGAAATTGAATATGGGAAGTAAAATAATCTTCCTGGTCTTATCTCTTTTTTTTTTTGGGTCCTCCCCTTCCTCGTCGTTAAGGCTATACGGGGTTTTCCCGGGCCAGGGAATGTAGATGGGGATTTAAAAGACTCCCTCGGCACCGGGAAGCGAACTCGCGATTTTTATATCATTTGATTGATATATCAGGTTGCCGGGCAACGGCGGCGATGTGCACACGCGTTTGCCCATTCGGCCACCCCGCCCACAAAAATGTGGAACGCTTCACGATTTTGCTTGTCATCCTTGAGCTGGGGCATGCTAATCTTCTCTGTATCATTCCAATTTTAATATATGTACCACCGAAGGGAGTACACCTGCTCTTATCTTATACTTAATAATGGCATATCTTACGCTGAAATAGATAGTATATTTGAAGTATATCTTCCATCGCCCCTGTCCATCTACAAAGCTCCTTCAAGCTTCCTGGCCCAATCTGCAATGGAGATAACATTTCACCTGTGTTCTGTTGCAGGTTGGAGCCATGACTTCTTTGAACTTCCTGCCAGTTGTTACCAATGCGTATTGGCTCTTGGAACTCGATGCGGGTTCGCTAGCGATCGCTAGTTTGGAGATAGCGTCCATGGTATCGTTGATCGCGTTCCACCTTTGGTCTTTGTTTTTCGAATACGAGAACGAAGATGGGAGTGAATGGAACTACGTCGAGGAATGGATGCATTACATATGGATGGCTCTTCACTTACACTTCATCGTTTCGGATATCTTTATTATCGTGACGTACACCGATAAAACGCAGAAAAACCTCCTCTTCGCAGCAATCTGTATCCAGATCATAATGCTCATCCTGTACTTACTGATGATCATATTCCTCTTGGTCATTATGATCGTTTACGAAGACGTTTGGGAAGGAATTTTTACAACCATCCTCCGGATATTTGTTTTGGGAGTATTTTACTACAATATAATTGTTTTTCACAGTTGGTATAAAATGTTAAAAATGAAAAAGTATAGACATTTTTAATTTTATGTATGTGTACATATACTTTACGAAATAAATTATTTAAACAAGAAATTATGCATTATTTTTTACTAATATCAATATAATAAACAACTTGCATAATAAACATACATATACGAGTAGCAGTTTTTTGGAAAATTCATTGGTATTTATGGGAATCAATAACTGAAATAACTTTTAAAAAATTATAAACTGAATATATTTATCATATTTTATGGTTTGCTAAAGCGTAACGGAATAACTACATAAATATTGTTTTTGGCACCCTTTTCTTTCAAGATGGCGGCAGAAAAACCTGTTTAGCTGTAGGCTGTAGCGCCTGTACTAATGTACTGATTTTATTGAAACTTGGCTAAAGTCTTATTCTCAAATTTTTTTAAAATTTATATCTATATAAAATACTTCACCGGAAAGTATTTTCATATCAAGATGGCCACCGAAAATCCTGTTTTGTTCAGAATAAGGGTCTCCAAACTTCGGTCCTTCAGTGGCTCCTATCCGGGCCGGCCAAAGATTTTTTGATTGCATTGAAGAAATTTTAAAAAAATTAAAACTTAGTTGATGTTTTTACTTCTATCGTGTGGTCTAATGCAAACACTCTTGGTTTTTTTTTTTTATTTAATCAACTTTTTGGTAATGGGGCGTTTTCAATTTGGATATCGATATAGTTTCTATTTAAATTATAAGATTATCACAATATCGAGAAAAAAAGTGAGCTACAAAAAAAAAAAAAAAAAATATATATATATATATTTTTTTTTTTGGTTTGCTCTACAGACCTTGTAGATTTTTGGTCGCCTGAACCAGCCTTCTCCACCTCTGCCTATTTTGGACTACTACTTTCCAGTTTGCTGCATGAAGCTCAGCCGTATCTTTGTTTATTCTATCTATCCATCTGGTTTTTGGCCTCCCACGGGGTTATATATATATATATTCAAGTTTATTTATTTTCAGGCCTTGGCCTTCTCAACAATACGTCCAATACAATACGGCCAATTTTACACCAATTTTTAGTTTTACCAACTTAATGATTACAACATCTCAATTACGACGTTTCGGCTCGTCGAGCAATTTTCAAGTCTTAAAGAAATTTTTCAATTTAATAGCTCGACGAGGCGAAACGAAAATGTTGTAGTCAATTAGTTAATAAAATTAAAAATTGGCTGCAAATTATAATATTAATATATATATATATATATTGGATGTTTGGGTGGAACACTTGAAAACAGCGAAGCCAACTGAATTTTATGGAACAGATGGGTGCTCATGAGATATTAATGTAATATTAAATTAATCAATTCAGATATGATGAGGAAAGAAAAATACCAAATTAGGACAGGCCGGAGACAACACACTTCATACCAAAAGTATAAAAATACAGCTAGAGGTAATAATAAAAAATAAATTAGTACTATGACAGATATAAAATATTAATATTATAAAACAACTGCAAAAAAAAATTCTATTTCGCCCAGATAGGACGCTGCGGGTGACTACATTTATTGCTGGGCTGTTAGGAGGAAGATAATGTATGTAGCAACTTTATGTATGTGTGGGGGGGGGAGCACCAGCAGGCGTTATTTTATTTTAGCCTCGTTGGATGTGTTTGTATTTTAGCTCTGAACCGGAACTGGCAACTGCTCTGTTTGTCGGAAGAGGGACCGGGCCTTCTAGATCGCAACCTCTATGGATTGCTTCACCAGCTGTTAGCATCTACTACACTTAAAATTTGTAATCGAATTGTCTCAAGTAGCTAAGTTCAATATTTTCAAGAAGCTATTTAAAAATATTTTTGGTTTATCATTTTCAATAAAGAACCATTGTAATCGACCAAAAAATTATAAAAAAACTTCCTTAAAAATTTGAAATCGTTTCAGGATATGTGTAACTTAGTGCTACCCAAATGTGAGACCGAGACGAGTCTTGGTCTTGCAGTTACTTATTAAGTTATTAATATAGAGGTATTACTGTAATTTATTAGATAGGGGAAACCTAACTAAGCCCAAATGAAACATTAGAGGAGTTAAAGAAAAATTATATTGGTTATATCAATTATTAATATATAGTAACTAAGATTGTCGTGTATTAGTAACTATTTCAGGAAAAATTTTTATTAAAAAACCTGATTTTTTTTACAAGTCCTAGTCTTGTTAGCCTTGATAACAACCTTGGTCTTGGTCTTGGAAAGTACAAGACCAAGATTGATTTTGGGCAACGCCTCCACCGTTCACCGTCCAAATCCAGTCCCTTCAGATCGGCTTTAATGCAATCTTCCCACCTTCGCTTCGGTCTACCCCTAGGACGATTACCATTCGATACAGCAAATATTAACCTTTTAGGAATTCTCACGATGCTAAGCCCAACAACTTTAAAGCCCATTTGATTCGCCGTGATGAAATTACCTCAATTATATTACCCGGATACAGTTTACGCAATTCGGCGTTGTGTAATCGTCTGAACTCTCCGGTTAACTCATCCTTCGGTCCGAATATTCTACGCAATACTTTATCTTCAAAAACTTTAAGACGCTGTTCATCCCTTTATGTAAGCTACCAAATTTCGCATCCATAAAGTACTGTAGGTATGATAATGGTTTTATAGATTCTAATTTTTATGTTCCGGGACAAGAGGCGATAGCTAAGTAGTTTTGTCACAGAAAAATAACAAGAATTTCCCGCCTTCAGTCTAACTTTAATCTCTTCTTCGATTTCGTTTTTTATAGTTATTGTAGACCCTAGATACCTAAATTTCTCTACCTGCTCAAACATATTACCATCTATATCGATATCACTAGTAGTATCGCCATTTTTGCAGCTAGCCATATAATTTGTTTTATCCGTGTTTATTTCGAGCCCTAGTTCTTTATTGGCTTTCATTAACAAAGTCGTATTTAGTTTTATAGTTTCTACGTCTTCGCTTAACAGTACCAGATCATCTGCATAGTCCAGCACGGATGTTTTCCCATCCAGATCCAACCCTTTTTCGGTACGCATCACCGCGAAACAAATCTCAAATTTTGCGGATAGATTATTACCGATTCATTTTATATGAAACGAGGCAATAATTTGTATTTATTATTTACTTTAATCGACCATGACTACGAGCTTAATACGTGAGTTGTGTTGCAGGTCGGAGCGATGTCAGGCCTGGACTTCATGTTTACCGTCGACAACTGCTTCGGATCCCTGGACCTCAACGTCGGGTCGCTCGTCATTGCCATGATCGAACTCCTGGTCCCCTTTCTGCTGATCGCCTACTACAACGTCAACTGCACCTGCGAGCCTTCCGACGACGAAGACGACTCCATCTTTACCATGAGATGGGTCTGCTACATCACCTTGGTACTGCATCTCCTCTTCATCATATCGGCCGTACTCATAATAATAACCTACTCGGACGACAAGTTGAAGAACCTCCTCTACGTAGCGATATGGATACAGATGTCATTGCTGATAATATATCTATGTGTTGTCTTATTGGTGTACTGCATGTTACTCATGAAGGGAGGATGTTTGATAGCACTGATGTTACTCGCGGTACGGTTAGCACTTTTAGCAGTACTGACGTACTTTGTGATTGTGCTAAACAGTTGGTATAAAAGTTTATAATCATTTATGTATCCCATGCGAGCAAATAAATTATACAATGCGAGTTGTCATAACTTATAGAAGATAACATTTAACCATCTGAAGGTAATCGAGATGTACTAAAATGTGGATGAGCATTTTCATGGACCAATCGAACAACAAAGTGCAAATATACATAAAGAATATCCGAGTGGCAAGTGTCATATTTTATTAAATAAATTATTTTAAAAAATGGAGTACAATTTTCAGATTTTTATTTATTTATTTTTAATAATGATAATAATAATAATAAGGCTTAGCGAACCCGAAGGTTCGATGCCGACACCACCAATCGCTTGTTACACACCTCCCTCCACCGTTCGCCGTCCAAACCCAGTCCCTTCAGATCGGCTTTAATGCAATCTTCCCACCTTCGCTTCGGTCTACCCCTCGGACGCTTACCATTCGGCACAGCAAATATTAACCTTTTAGGAATCCTCTCGTTACTAAGCCCAACAACTTTACAAGCCCATTTGATTCGCCGCGATGAAATTACCTCAATTATATTACCCGGATACAGCTCACGCAATTCGGCGTTGTGTAACCGTCTGAACTCTCCGGTTAACTCATCCTTCTTCGGTCCGAATATTCTACGCAATACTTTATTTTCAAAAACCTTAAGACGCTGCTCATCCCTTAATGTAAGCGGCCAAGTTTCGCATCCATAAAGAACTGTAGGCAAGATAATTGTTTTATAGATTCTAATTTTTAAGTTTCGGGACAAGAGGCGCGAACTAAGTAGTTTTGTCACAGAAAAATAACAAGCATTCCCCGCCTTCAGTCTAACCTTAATCTCTTCTTCAATTTCGTTTTTTCTAGTTATCGTAGAACCTAGATACCTAAATTTATCTACCTGTTCAAACATATTACCATCTATATCGATATCACCAGTAGTATCGCCATTTTTGCAGCTAACCATATATTTTGTTTTATCCACGTTTATTTTTACGTTTATTTTTTTTATACATTCATAATATTTACAACTGCATTTAAACAAATCCAGTGTGTCCACTCACACGACCTTCCGACCTATTTCAGAAAAGTTTTTATACCTTTACATCAAGATACGAAAGAAAATGAATTAAATTTATTTTCCTGAAAATTGATCAAAGAAAAGATTTAAGTACGATTTATTTGATAAACTGAAGCAATGTAAACTTAATGTAGGTCAGTCTAAAATTTTCAATACCTTCTAATATTTCTGATCAAAAACTTTTTGCCATAGCCTAATTTTGTGTAACAATAATTTCTGTTAAAAGTAGAGGTAATAGTGAAGCTTGTGTGATGCGGGCAACAGATTTTCTTACTTTCACTTAGTTATCTTTTTTCCTCTCATTCAACCCTTTCTGACACCAGGATATGAACTCGTAATCTTACATTGGAAATTGAATAGCTGTAACTTCGTTAATAGTTGTCCGAAATGGACGATTTGTATGTAGTTTTGTAGGAAATTTCATTACCTTTAATTTATTGCGCAGCAGCTATGGAGCACCCGATTTCTGTCACAGGCATCAGTAGTCAAAACCCCACAAAATAAAAAAAGAAGCAATAAACTCGATTCAGTAGTTCCCGAGCAAATCTTGGCACAGACAGACCAATTCCTAAAAGTGTGTTTTTTGGACTCAGGGGGCTCTGAAAAGTATAGTCGAAATCGTATATCGAAAATTTGACTCGATCGCAATACTTTCCTTACCTAGTATATGTAAGAAAGTAAAAAATGAAAAAATAAGCATACATCTAGTAAATGTCCACTCAGTAATATAATAACATGAAAACTCTTGTTGAGAAACCACCCACTGGTAGCACTTAAATAATAAATTTATATAAGAAGATCACGAGGCCACTTTCTTTTCAGAAACCTCGGCGGGTTATCAAGAATCGATAAGGAAGCAAGTTTTGAAATAAGAGAGTTCAGATGGTTCTGAATATATGGTACTTTAAGGATTGGATAAGATAAGAACTCAATGGTTTAGTGGAGCCCCAAAGCTCAATTCCGTAAGTCCAAATAGGCCTTGTATGAGTCTTATGTAATTAATACTTATAGCATTTGTCTAGTAAGTGCTGAAGCAGTCGAAAACGTCGAGAATTTTCTTGTCGTTTCAGTCGGGTATTTAGATTCCAAGTTAGATGTTTGTCCAGGTGGAGTCATTTTTTTTTTTAAACTTGTTTATTGAAAAATATTACAATTTGTATTAAAGGAAATTGGAATTAAAATTCTTTTATTTAAAGTAGCTCCCGTTAGTATTTCACTCTCATTCGTGTTCCATTAACTAATGATTGTGCAGTATTTAAGTTAAGAATGATAAGAATGAGCACAACAATAGAATTTACTATTAAATTTAATTTATGAAGTAACATTCCTCTAGCATTCAATGATATCTATCACCTCTTCAAATAATAGTCGCGATTACTTCAGTAAATGTAAAGTTTCCGATTTATCGAAAACCAAATATAGGAAATCGTCTATGCAAAAGAAGAAGTACTAAATGTTTAAAACGATATATCTCTGCTAGAAATAGTCCGGTTTCGATGATTTGTTTTTATTTTGTATGGAATTCAGGAAGCTTTCAAAGAAATATTGGTGTTAACAATAAAAAATATGTTCTTTTTGAGTTATTCGCAAATAAAATACTGAATTCATACAAATGTATGCAGCTGGTTTTCGAGAAAGTATGTTATATAAATAAATTATAAATGTTTCAAGGGGAAGACTTGCCAACTATCATTAAAATCGTTGCAGCCATGTTTGCGCTGAGTCTAAAGCGAATCATTTTTTTCGGCCCCCATTTCGAAAGGAAAGGCCTGATGATAATAAAACCTGTACGGAAGCATTCCTAAATCTTCTTGCTATGTTGAACCAAAATTTCAAAGAAATCGGTGCTGAAGTTTCGGAGTTTAGCTGTTAAGAAGAAAACTACCATTTTTATTTTTATTTACATACACTATTTCATATTTTTATTTATTGATAACACTAAAGCTCGTCAATAGCTATTAAACAAAAAAAAAATAAGGAAGAAAATAGGTTGAATAATAAAGGAGAAAAAGCGACTGAACCGTTTTGGTTTTGTCTATTTATATAATGATGATATTGGTAGATGAGGTGATCTGGTTACCACGGATACCAAACTACTCTCTATTAGAATCATAATTGTGGGCTAATGGTTGACTGTTGTGAATAATGAAGAGAAGAATGGTTGGGGTGATGAGTCAGAAATAAGAAGGCAAAAATAAATATTATTATATAATAATATTTATTTTGAAATATTCCGACGTTTCGACCTGAAGTTCAGGCCTCTATCAGGGCTAAGAAAAAAACCAGATAACAAGTTATGAGAAAACATAAATAGTGTAGGTAAAAAATTAAAGTAAAATGAAGTGGGCAGAATAATGACAATAGTAAGAACTAAGAGATAAATATTAATAACCGTAACAAAGTGTAGAATGATGAAGTAAACATAATTTAAAAACTTTTATATTTAATGCCCTCATGAGGAATAAATAAAGAAAAACTACAAATACGTTTTTATTCTTTATCTCCAAGCCTAATTTATTTTAGAGGAGAAAAAGGGGCTGAAACCTTTTGTGTTTGCCTATTTATGTAATTATACTTATATATAAATCAGAAGCATGGAGGAGAAAGAGCAATAAACTGTTAACAGAAGTTGGTCAATCAATATCTCATAGTATAAAGGCACGGAGATTAAGATGGGCGGGGCATGTAGCACGCAGCAATATATCAGGAAGGCTCTGCGTAACAATGTATGACTCTATGGAACACGTAGATATATTTTTTTTATAATTTTTAAAATTTCCTAAATTCATGAATATGTTTCATATCAAATTTTAAAATTATAGTTTGAGAAATATTCTAAGAGAGAGCAGTTGGGTATTGTAGATAGATAGAAGAGCCATTGGGGTGAGTTGGATCCGATAAGAGAAGACAAGCTATTGGTTTCGATGACTGTCAACCTGGTCTAATTAAAGAGACGAGCCCCCTGATTGGTCCAATTCCTTTCCCGGCGGCCTTTTTGTCCTCGGCTTGATGAAATTTGTCGAGGGTCTCTCCCTAATTGTCACAGATAGGGATCGCCATTTAAACTATTTAACGGTGTTTTTCTCTCCCTTCTTTTTGGTTTGCTGTAGGTTGAAATAATTAATTGGAATTATTTTTTTACAGAACTAGCATTTTAATTTCCTAAAAAAAATGGAGAATTAAAATAAACTCCAATAAATCCCACCAAATTACTCAGCACTTACTAGACAAACGTTCTAAACTTCCAGTTAATTACAAAAGAGTCATATACATGACTATAATAAGGCCTATTTGGACTTACGGAGTTGAGCTATAGGGCTCCACTAAACCATCGAATTCCTCTCGTATCCAATCCTTACAATCCAAAATCCTTCGTAAAATCCTCAATGCTCCCTATTTTGTCACAAATAAAACCATCCATAGTGACCTTAGAGTTTCTTTTGTTTCAGATCTGGCCCAATCCGGACACCTATCCTTCCATAATAAACTTCAGAATCATCCCAACCCTCTCGTTTATAACCTTGCTTCCTCTTCAATTTCTGATAACCCTCCAAGGCGTCTGAAAAGAAGATGGCCCCGTGATCTAATGTAGACATATCATTAGAGTGCTACCATTGGGTAGTTTCTCAACAAGCGTTTTCACGTCATTATATCCATATGTTCAAATTTACTAGATGAATTTATTTAATACAGTTGTAAATATCATAAACAAAGAAAAAAAAAATGTCTCAATAACTTCATTTGAGGCAAGTTGTGCGTTGCAGAAGTCTTAAATAGCAATCTAACGAATTTACATTTATAATGTGATCAAGAGATCTTGGAGTACCTCACAAAGCGGAGCTACGGTTGTGAAGCAGTACCATTAGAGGAATACTAATAGAAATTTAATTTTACAGAAGAACTATAATTAATTTTTCCTTTACAATACATTTTTGAAATAATAGAGACCAATCACCAAAAAATGATATAAATTGTTAGTTCAAACTAGTGTCCAACCAGTGGTCGAAATTAGACTATAATCGTGTGGGAAAACATACATGAATTTCCATATTTCCAAAAAAAAATTTTGACACTTATACATTCATTTACAATGTACATACTAAATTATAGATGATATAAAGGCAAGGGGATTAAGATGGGCGGGGCATGTAGCTCGCAGCAA